CTGACACCCTCCATGGATGCATGCCAGGTACCAGGGCTGGGCTGCAGCCTGCCTCCTGCGTGGCACAGCTGCTGTTTGGAGTGGTCACAGAATCACTGGGTTCAGCACAGACCTCCAAGGTCACAATCCCAGTTGTGCCCAATCCCTGCCTTGTCACCAGCCCAGAGCATCTAGGTGTCCCTTGGATGCTCCAGGGATGAGGGTTTCCATCCAGCAGTGACCTGATGCACTGAGGTTTTTTGGCCACGCTCACTGATGCAGGCAGACAGACAGATGACCCTTCTCTGGAGCAGGCTGTTAATCAGATGAGGATTCCTTATTGTCCTACAAACTGATGGGTTGACTTATTGTTCACAGACAGATTGTAATAACATAATGAGCCTCCTGAGCATTAGCTGAATAAGAAAATCAGGTCATTTGGTGCTGCCTGGTGTTAATGATGAGTGAAGATATTTCTGAGCTAATCGCGGGGCTAATGTCCCTTGGGCTCTGCCTGCTTCTGATTTATTAACTTGTATTTGTGAAATGAAAAAAGGCTTGTCTTGAAACACACCCTCATCTGCTCAGTGAGGGCTGCCTGGCTGCTGTGGGCTCAGCCATGCTGTTAGCATTGCCAAACTCAAGGCATCCTTTCAGCTGTTTCCTGAAGGCTTTGCTGGTGTGAATGAGAAGTGCGTGGAACTCAAGGAGGTGGGCCCAGAAGGGGTGCTGGAGGCTGCCTGGAATGAGGAGATGTGTGTGAGACGCGCATGGGTGTCTGCCCTCCTCCTCCCTTCCCTGACGCTGTCTGTCTGCAGACAAGGACACGGACCCTGCCTCCATCCAGGAGATCAGTGAGTCAGTCCTGTCCCTGCGCCTCCCCACGGACGCTGCCGCAGTCCGGAGGAGGATGAGCGAGATCCAGAAGCTGGCGGCGGAGCTGCAGTGCCCCGAGGACATCCTTGCCCAGACGGCCGAGGACATGGCCAGGGCCAAGAGGCTGCAGCAGGAGGCAGAGCAGGCCAGGTGGGTGGGGGTTCAAGCCATGGCCAGCCGAGCGTCCCTTGGCTGGGCTGCAGCTGCTGGTTCTCAGCTGGGCTCCAATCTTGCTCTGCGCGAGCTCTCCTGACTTGCACAATCTGAAGGTTTAGGTCAGGATCTCCTGTGTCCGTCCAGTGCCTAAAGGAATGAGTCTGCAATCTCCAGACACCTCCCAGAGCCCCAGTGCAGATAAATCTCCCCAGAATAGATCCTGTTATAGATTTCAGGACAAGAAGGGCTTTATGGAAAGCAGGGGAGGCTTTGCTCTTATCTCGAGTGCCTGTGCTGGGAGATGACAGCGTTGCCCTGGTATTAGCTGATATTGGTGACCTACATCCTAATTGCACAAGAGAGCATGGGGAGAGTTAATGGGCTATTTGTTTTCTGGGTGAAAGTTGGGACGATTATTCCACGGTCCCTTAAAAAGTAATTACAGGGTGTCCTTGCCAATTTGAAGCATCTGCTTTGTCACAAGTTGACTTGCAGCAATACCCCAGCGAGAAGGTCAGCAGGATAAATCTGTAAACTCCTTGGCAGTGTCTGACACCTGCTTAACCTGCTGGAAGTGATGAGGCAGGGGAGCATGGCTTTCTGCAGGGCTCTGTCACCCAGCCCCAGCTGTCCCACTGTGAGCAGCAAACTGTTCATTGGAGCTGCTTCCATGGTTATTGCTTTCCCTTTGCCACCTTGTCATGCACCATGAAATAAATGTTTCGGACTAGTTTGGAGGGGAAATAAATGCCTTCCTTCTTAGTTTGTCTCCTCTGCTTGAGGCTGTGAAGTGGAACTGATGTTCCTCTCACAAGGAGACCTGCTGGAGTCCAGATGTGTGGGTTTTGGGGGTGGGACATTGTGACCTTGCAATCAGCAATCCTCTCCTGCTTCCCAAGCTCCTGGTCTTAACTCTGTGCCCTGGACTCCCAGTGTTTGCCCTTTTCTACCCTCACTCCTGGCTGCTTCCCACCTCTCCACAGGAACCGGGCGAAGGCGGTGGAGGGCAGCGTGGAGGAGGTGCTGGGGAACCTGCAGCGAGCCAGCACCGTGCTGCTGGAGGCACAGGGGGCCCTCAGGGGCTCGGGCTCCTCGCTGCGCTTCATCCGGGAGCGCGTGGAGGAGGTGAGGGACCCTGGCGGCCTCCCTGTGCCCCGTGTGTGTCCCTCAGCCAGCAGGGCTGGCACGGGCAGGGTTTGGGTGTGACTCTGATCCCTGTGCCCGCAGATCGAGGCCGTGCTCGGGCCGGCTGAGAAGAACGTGGTGGCCATGGGGGCCGGGCTGGCCGGGCTGGCCGAGCGGCTGTCGCAGCTGCAGCGCAGCACGGAGCAGAACCGCCTGAGGGCCGGGGACACGCGGGACACGGCGGGGACGGCGGCACAGCAGGCCGGCAGGGCACAGCAGGTACCAAACCACAGCAGGGCCCAGCTCAGAGCAGGGCTGGGGACACAGCGGGGACGGCGGCACAGCGGGTACCGGATCACAGCAGGTACCAGCAGGGCCCAGGAGGTACCAGCAAAGAGCACGGCAGCAGGGCCCAGCAGGTACCAAACCACAGCAGGCCACCAGTACAGCAGGTACTGGCTCACAACAGGGCCCAGCAGGGTCCAGCAGGTACCGGCTCACAGCAGGCATCAGCAGGGTCCAGAAGGTACCAGCTCACAGCAGGTACCAACTTGGCATGTGCCCACTGCCAGCTGTGCCTTCGGTGATGCCAGGGCATCTTCCTGTGCAGGCATGGCTGCTGAGCTGTCACACCACAGCATCGTCCTGCTGCTGAGCCTTTCCAGAGCCATTCCCAATCCTAAGGCCCTTTGCTGGGGCCATTCCCAGCCCTAAGACCCCTTGCTGGCCCCTCATTTCTGGTCTGTCCTGCCGGAGGCCTCCTGCCTTGTGGAGCTGTCTGTCGGTCTGTGGGTGCATCACAAACTGGCACACATTTGGTAACAGACAATGCTCTGTTTAACATTTATCATCCATTTAACATGCAAGCAGGATCCAGCGCTGGCAGTGGCCTGTGCCCAGGCTGCTGGGTGTTACCTGCAGTGTTTGTGCCTTTCCAGGCCCTGGCCCAGGTGAAGGAGCTGTACTCGGAGCTGCAGAGCCGGCTGGGGCAGGGCCCGGCGCTGGGCGAGCGGGGCATGAGGGTGCAGAGCATCGGCCAGGAGGCACAGGCGCTGTTCCAGGAGACCGTGGGCATCATGCTCAGGATGCAAAGTAAGGCTCTCAAAACTCCGTGCCATTATTGTGCCATGGGGAAGGGCTTGGATTGCTGTGGTGTGATGAGGGAGACTGTGACTGTGTTCACAGGGGTCTGAGGATGAGGGAAGAGACGAGGATCTGACTCCGTGTTTCAGAAGGCGTGATTTATTATTTTATGATATATATTATATTAAAACTATACTAAAAGAATAGAAGAAAGGATTTCATCAGAAGGCAGGCTATGAATAGAATAAGAAAGAATGATAACAAAAGCTTCCGTCTTGGACAGAGAGTCTGAGCCAGCTGATTGGCCATTAATTAGAAATAACCACATGAGACCAATCACAGATGCACCTGTTGCATTCCACAGCAGCAGATAACCATTGTTTACATTTTGTTCCTGAGGCCTCCCAGCTTCTCAGGAGGAAAAATCCTAAGGAAAGGATTTTCCATAGAAGATGCCTGTGACAGGGGACAGCGCACTTTGGGCAGTGAGAGGGTGGGATGTGGGCTGGAGCTGCTGCTGCTGTGCCAGGAAATTGAGAGTTTTCAAGGGTGCCACCATGAAGGGAAGCCCTGCCTGCAGTGCCACTGTGCTCCCATTTTCCTCCACATGCTCATTTCCATTTTTTGGCATTCAGAGCTAAAGGGAGCGCTGTCTGGGGGCTGTTTAGAGGGAGTGCAGCATGTTGGTTTTCTTGCCCTGTCAGAGCTGTGCAGCAGCGAGGCGGAGGCTCAGCCCAGCCCCACCACGTAACCCTTCCCTTCCCTCTCTCCTCAGCTCTGGAGTCAGAAATTCAGGAAGGCAACAAGGCTCTGGTGTCCAGGGTGTCGCGGCTGTCGGGGCTGGAGGAGAAGGTGGGCAGGATCCGGGACAGCATCAAGAGGAAAGTCGCCTACTACGAGAGCTGCTCCTGAGCAGCCTGGGGCATGGCTGCCTCCCCTGCACACCCCGGCTGCTGCGCTCATCCCACTTGCCAGCTGGAGCTCTCCTGTGCCCAGTTCCCTATTTTTAGCAAGTCAATTTTCCGTACCTCTGGAAAATAGCTGCACTGAAGCGAAGGAGCACCCCCATGGAGGGGGCTGGACTGGCCAGAGCTGCCCAGTGGTTGGAGGAAAAAGGGGGAGAGACATCAGGCTCCCATGGCAAATAAACACAGCCCCAGGTTGTTGTTTCCAGAGGGTTTTATAAACCAGGAAATTATTTTTTCTTCTTTTAGCCAATTCAAGGTCTTTAAGCTGAATTTCACTGTTCAAATTAAAGCCCTCCTGTGGGGTCTTCTCAAGCTTTTTATCTGTGCTGCAGTTAATTCTTCAAACATGCCACGGCTTCAGTACTTCCCTCTGAGATCTTCCTTCAAATAAGCAGATCAGAGAAGTGGAGAATTTTATCTCCCTCTGTACAACATCCCTACATTTATGTAAATCAGACCAACACAGGCTCACAGTCAAAGGTGAAGGCAGATGTCTTGTTTGATTTTCTGCCACAATCTGCTTATTTTCCGCAGAACATTTTGCCAGAAAAACACCAGTGGGGGCAGGTCTGGGATGCACAGGGAAAGCTTTAGGAGGGACTAGACAGACCATTTCCATGTCAGATCTGTATGAATAACCAAGAGGCCCTTTACAAAACAAATCTCAGCTTTATTAAGCAAGTGTTCATTGTGTAATGACAGCCTTGGAGGGGGAGCTCAGACTTTGCTGTGGCATTGTCACACACAGGGAGGCTTCTAGCAGGTTCTGTCTCCTGTTGGGGCTGCACTGAGGCCTGGGCAGCTGAACTCCAGAGTGCCAGAGCCTGGACTAACCAAGGCCAGGAGAGGAGAGGGTGAGGGCTGTAGAAACAAGGGAGCTGCCCCGGGAGTGAAGCTCTGCATGGCTTTGGTTTGTGGGGCTGATGCTGTGCAGGGCCTCGGTGCATTGACAGCTACACAGGGTGCAGGGAACACAAGCTGAGGATGCCCTATGAGAATGGACACTGGGGGTGGGAGCAGGAGCCTCAGACCTTCCCTCGCCTCCTCCTGGCTGCAATGATCCAGAAGCAGCCCGAGCTGCCTGCAGGGATGGATCCTGGCACTGCTGTGCCCCTGGCCCAGCTGGTCACTGCCCTCCAGAGCTGCTGGCAGGGCACAGCCTCCTTTCTGCTCACACTGCCGGCTCTCAAGTGCAGAAAAGAGTCAAAGAGCCCTTCTGGTCCTGCAAGAGAGACAATTCCAGGTGAGGACGGGGCTTTGTTCCCCTGCTAACGAGCCGCGGTGGGGCAGGCACAGCTCCGGTCCCTTTGTGGCTCTCACAAAGGGCTGTCACAGCTCTGATTGCTGAATTGGCCTCTCTGGAGTCTGCAGTGGCTCTAACTGCGTTTGTCTGTGCCGTTAATCCGCTGTGCTGATCAAACAGCCCCATCAGCAGAGACTGAACAGGACATGAGAGCAGGGAGCTCTCTTGATGTGGCTTTGGAGGAGAGCGGCGCCAGCAGGAGCTCACCTTTGGGACACGGCTCAGAGCAGGGCTGACAGCAGAGCTGCTCACTGCTCACACACACAGTGTGCAGGTGATGAGAGGGCTGAGCCAGGCTGTGCTCAAATGGGATCCAACTGCATTGTTTTACTCTGCTTTACAGAATGAGCCTCCCTTTACAAAACGGGCTCTGCTCACAAAGACTTTCAAGCCTGCCTAGGCCAAAGAGAGGAGCTGCCTGTGCTGAGCCCTTTGCTCATGGCCCTGGCTGAACAGCCCAATCCCAGCTGAGGGACAGGTTTGCATCGGTGTTTTTCCCATTAATTAATAACATTAAAAGTTATTAAAAGCTTAATAACATTTTCCTATTAATCAGTGCAGAGTTTGGTGTGACAAACCCAAGCTTGGCTTCCTCTCTTGAGTTCCTGGGCAGCCTCATTGGGATGTAAGAGTTGGATTGGCCTGGCCCTGGTGGAAGCTGAGAGCTGAGTCATGGCTGGAGAGGTGTTGGTGAAAGGGTTTTTCTCTTGCAAAAACCCTGGGTTTGTTTATTTCTGTACAGTCACTGTGCTATTTCTGCCTTTCCCTTTTGCCTGCCCTAATTGGATTAATTAGGAGCAGCTGAAGATTGGATTGCAGGGCACTCACCTCTGAGCACATGGCTGCCTCCATCACATGATCAAACAAACTCCAGTTTGCCCAGTGCCACAGTGAGATGAGTGTTTACTGGTTTTCACTGGAACGAGAACCTCTGACTTGAAATGGCTGCTTGGGAATGGGTGAAAGGGAACAGAAAGAGAAAGAGAAATTGCAATTATTGAGGATTGTTCTGTAGGGGAATTGTCTCCCATTCCATCTGCTGTAATTCACAGAAGGACCTGGATACCTACTGGGATCTTGACGACTTTTTGAGCAGCACTGTCTCGGAGCAGGAGGACGCCTTGCTCTTCTCATGGCCCACACAGGAGGGGCTGCAGCCACAGGAGCTCCTGCCCGGGGGGCTGTGGCTGTCTGGCAGGGCCAGGCTGCTGTGCCTGGGCAGGGGTTCCTCCTCTGGGGGGCTGGGGGTGTCCCTGGGCAGGGGTCCCTCCTCCTCTGGGGGGCTGGGGGTATGTGACAGGACCAGGCTGGGGGTGTATGGCAGGGGTCCCTCTGGGGGCCTGGGGGTGTCCAGCATGGCCAGGCTGCTGTCCCTGGGCAGGGGTCCCTCCTCTGGGGGGCTGGGAGTGTCCAGCATGGCCAGGCTGCTGTCCCTGGGCAGGGGTCCCTCCTCTGGGGGGCTTGGCAGCTTTTCCTCTCCCATTGCTGTCTCCTGCGGGGGTCTGGGTGGGTTTGGGTGCCCCTGTGAGTTGCCCTGAGCTGTGTCCTTGTCATC